CCTACTACTATTCCTGAGAGGTGGAAGACCCATGCGCAATTCCCTGCTTTGATCCAGGCAGAGAAGGGATTCAAACTAGGTCTTCTCCACTGCTAAGGTGAGTGCTTTAAACACTGAGTTGCAGGGTTCAAGCACAGGGCACAGGGGAAGGCTCCTCCTTCTCCTCAGGGATCTGAATGGCACCTGTGTCCCCTTGAGAACCCAGCTCCAAAATCAAAATGCTTCTTTTCTGAAATACCAAGATGAACTGTTTTGACAGTCTTTTTTTTAATTCATGGATACTTTGGGTTACCACAAAACTACATTTTCAATGAGTAAAATATTTGCCATCCCTTCCCGTCACTACCAATAATGTCGAGCTCTAGCAATGAGTGCATTTTCCTTCATATGGGTCAGTGGCAACTAACTCCTCACAACAATGTGTTTAGCAAAGGGTTCAAGTTGACTCCTATTCCAGTTAATGGAATTTGGCCATCAGCATCCCTAGAAGAAAGACTGAGCCCTATATTTTACATATCATATATACTGTTATCACGGAACAAAAATTCCTGGAGTTAAGAAAAGGTCAGAGTCAATAGATCTGAATTTCTTTTCCTGTGGAATTTATAACTTTAATGTGAAGGGTCTGGTCAATCTCCAACAAATGTTTTACACAAACATCCCTCTGTTTTTAACAATTTTTTAAATGAAAGACCTCATTGTAAATGTATGAGATTCTTTGATAGTCTTTGGATAATAACATGATTCATTTTAATAACCCCTCTCATGTCAATATTAATGTGTATGCTAAAAAGGCCATCATTGTATAATCTCAATACTATGCTGTACATGTGGAGTAAGAGCCCAATATGACTGCTCCTGCAGCATGTCTTAAATATGCATGCCTCAACTACTAAAATCCTTTTGAATGCAGCACAGTAATTGCTGTTAAATCTTTCTCACAGCAATGTTTTAATATTTGGTGAAAAAAATAAATGGTAATTTGGTTGAGGCAGTAAAATATAAATTCTTTGAGTTGCAGGATCACACCTGATCTCAAAATCTGTTCACTGCATTTTCCTACCTGGTCCAGTAAAAATATATATTTATTAGCTTGGAAAATCTTGCATGCTTTTTTCTGAAACAAAGCAAAATGATAACCAAAAGTGGTCTTAAAGTTTAAGCTTCCAGTCCTTCAATGGGTTTACTTCTATGCTTAAATAAAGGGAAGATCAGGGCCAATGAGGCAAAGGCCTGTTCTTAAATTCATCAATCATTGGCAAAGCTCCCACTGGCTTCACTGCAGTAGCTGAGCCTATGCATGCTTAACATTAGGCAGTACTAAGAGTGGCTGAAACGATTTACACAAATATAGTAAAAACAAACAAAAACGGGCTTCTTAGCTCAGAAACCGTATGTTAAATTCTAATCCGGGGCAACTTTTCACAGTACATTATATAAACTCTTGGACCTTGACAGTGGTACTAGGACTCTGTCATGTATGATGGGTTTAGCTCAACATTTAGGGCTCTTTGGTTTAGTTGCTGCCTTGACAAAACCTAATGTAAGAAATATATTAATATATTTTAAAATTCAACAAAAGCATGTTAAGGGAGTCCCTGGTGCTTCAGAGGAAGGAACATAGAGCAACATTAGAACAGCGGATAAGTATCAGAAAGTGGGATTTACTAGGAAGAGGGGATGAAGCAAGAAATTCAGGTGTAGAGTTCAAATTAGTGAAAGTGAAAAAAGTAAGATAACATCAGAAAAAGAGGAAATGTTCTTTAAGGGCTTAATCCTGCCCCCACACAGTTGAGTAGCTTTAAAGCCAGAAGCAGCCATTGTAAAAATGTGCATCTGCATAAGTATTTGTGAGATCAAACTATGCCTGTTTCTTCTGAACAATAAATGAGTGTAAATTGGAATCAATAACAACTTTTTAAATATATATATTTGTATCTTAAAAAGTTTCATTTAACACAACACTGTTGTGACAACACTGACAACACTGCTTAAGAATCTGAGTCTGTAGACACTGTGTAGGCCAGATCCAACTCTTAAAGGTCAAAAGAAAGGTTCCCACTCAATACACTGCAGTTCCTCTGAAGGCAAGAATAAGGCCTAACATGAGCTAATGCACGAGCAAAGAGTCACTCCAACGCTAATGAATCCTGATGAAGAATTCTGATGCTATCATACTGTGACATGGATGATGACAGTTTTGTAATCCCTCAATGGAACTATAGACTAGAAGCTGCCATTTCAACATACACTGTCATTTCTAGTCCAGAGAAAGGGTCCCAAGCTTCAAACCCTTACTTCTTAACAATTACATTTAGCATTTAAACATTGTAGGGACATCAACTGATTAATCGGACACGAGTCATTTGGACATACAGTCACACTGAAGTCAATGAGACTAATGGCAACCTAAGAAGAATTACCCCTGTTTAGGTTTGCAAGATCAGTGGTTAGTTTTACAGTGTGCCTTACTGTTACATAATCTGCTATTAAGATAATGGCCAAGAGAAGATAACACTTAATATATAAACATTGGAATACAGTTCTAAAATCGGTATTGCACCTTCAGCTGTCATGCAGCCTGCCTTTTGCAAAAGAATCAAAATGATATAATACATGTCTAAATACAAAAAATGTGACTCGTTACACAGTGTCTGGGTACAATTACAAAACAGTAATCCGTCACAGATTACAAAACTATACTTGACAAATATATATTATTGTTAACATTTTCTATTTGTAATGCATATTATATGACTTTCAAATGTCAGCGTTACAACTGCTTTCCTATTGTATTGGTAATCATTCAATACAGCATTTATTTTATCCCAGAAATATTTCCAATTTTACTCAAATGATTTTTTCATATTAAATATTTGAATTCAAATTGCTGGCAGAACTCCTAAGAAACTCTTACAGCTCAAATAAATTTATTTGTGACAGAAATGAAAGGAATTCACTTTGAAGAGATCATATTTCCTTTACAAACAGAAAAAACCCAAAATTTTACATAGAGATCTTCTAAGGGAGAAGATAATGGGAGATTTAGAGCGTGTTCAAGATTAATGTTTAACTGATTATTAATCTATGCATTTTATTTAAAATGTTATGAGGTGTTGTATTCATACCCTTAAAACTATACCCTTAAATCTTCTTTTCTTTCCCTTTCATTTGAAAGAAGGAACATATCATAGGAAAATGTTACTATATATTTCTTGATCCTTATTCAAACACAATGAGAAACGTGATTATTGTAAAAATGAACAGAACAAAAAAAGACAGACATAACAAGGCAGAAGCTACTTAAATTTAATATACTCTGAATCTATTATACATTAAGCCTCTCCTTCTGTTCATAGGCACCTATTTAAAGCCCAGGGTGACCTACAGAACTTGACCTCAAGTGAAATAAAGACTACAGTACTAGCTGATTAAAGTAAAGGAGTCTCCAACCCAGAGTCAAAGAGTGTCAGAGAAGGTGAGGTCTGTGGAAATGTCATTCCCAAAAGGGTCAGGCAGGGGTCAAATAAAATGATCTGAATAAGCATCTCCTTTCAGCAGCAGATTATGAAGCCCTTACTCCTCCTCCAGCAAGCAGTCCTACTGCTTTGAATGTTGAGTGCTGCTATAGCAATAATGTAATAATTAAACTTAAGACCCTCCCTCCCCCCCCTCTAAAACATACCCAGTCTATTTATTTCCCTCTGATCTAGTGACAGGATGGTTTGCATCCTTTACTGTTATAAGACATAGACCTGTGTGAGTGTGTGCGCCGCCTGAGAAAGAAGATAATGTTTCAAGGACACGCTTAGCATACGATCAGAAAAATCACCTTCCCTGGCCAATGGGCAAAGTGTCCACGGTAAGGAATGCAGAGGAGGCCTGGCCACGCACATCTCACCAGCATTACTTTTGCAGTTATTTATTAGGACTCGTATGAAGCACCTCACTACCAAGGATGCTCAGGGCGGGGGGAGACACACATTAAGCAAGGCTGCTGCTTCTTGCCTAAAAGTAAGTAGGATGCCATTGTGCCAGCTCATACATCCTCCAGCTTCTCATCACTACCACCCTACTGCAGAATTAAAAAAAAAAAAAACAAAAAAAAGCAGCGATTCCTTATTAGTCTGGAGCAGGAGGTCTGAGAGAGCTGTTCAGCACTCAGGCCATGGGCAGGTACTGCGGGTTGACTGGACAAGGCACTGGAGCTCTCCAAGCCCAGGTGCTACAAGGATCCCTCACCAATGCCCCAGCTGGTGGCTGCTGGATGGCTGGGTATGTGTGGCTGTGGAGGGGGCAGGCCTATTGGACACAGATGGGTAATGCGGGCCTTCTGCCCACAGAGCAATGGTCATCCCCCGCTGTTAACAGAGGGGTCTATTGGGTATGCGCCAGCTGAATTTGTGGGGCAAATAAGAAAGGAAACCCAGGGAAAGGAACGAGGGTCAGAGGTTCAAAACAAGTGCATGGGGGCAACACAGAACAGAGTACGCCTCAGGAGGCCTTTTGCTATGCCATTCTGTACTGTGGGCCAAAGCCCACTGAGCAGAGCTGTAAGGGGGCAGATGGCATTCGCACGCCGAGCGACAAGACCAGACGGTGGCTCATAGATTGGATGTTGATATCTGTTGGCGATGGGGACCACACTGAGGGCACATCACCGAGGGCTCGGGACAATGTGGAGACAAAACAGGGCCAGGAGTGAGGGGCATAGGTTTCAAAGGGGGGAGATGAGGGCAGAGCCAGGCAAAGGGGCAGGGAATGAGCCCGGGAGGGGATAAAGGGGCAGGGACTGAGCCCGGAAGGGGGCACAGGGGCAGGGAATGAGCCCGGGAGAGGATACAGGGGCAGGCACTGAGTCCGGGCAGTGCGTGTGTGTGGCAGTGTGCTTGGGTGGGGGGGTGCCTGGCTGCCAGGTGGGGCTCCCTGCCCCCTGGCACCGCCTGCCTGCCCGCCCGCCCCAAGGTCACCCCACCCGCCTGCCCACCACCCCCGCTTACCTGCCCCTTGACCAGGCTGGCGGCGAACTGCCTCATGACGGCCTCCACCGTGTAGGCGCTGGACCAGCCGCGGGGGGTGAGCAGCTCCATGCAGATGGCCCCGCCGTCCAGCACGTAGCCGTTCTCCAGGCGGGGGCTGAGCACCCGCATGAAGGGCGGCGAGAAGGGGAAGTTGTCGGGGAAGGTGAGGTTGAGCAGGATGAACTCCGTGTTGGTCTCCTTCATGTCCTGCCACAGCACCGAGTCCTTGTCCACCTGGTGCAGCTTCACGTTCCAGTCGAAGAGGCTCTCGTCCACCAGCTCCACGGAGATGAAGCGGTCGCTCAGGCGCGCGATGTCCTGCAGCTCCTTCATGAGGCGCCGCGTGCGGACCTGCGTGCAGTGCTGCGGCCGGCCGGGCCCCGCGCCCGCGCCCGCCCGCGCGGTGCT